AAGCATTTGGAATTCACTGATTAGCATTCAGAATATACTAATTCACTAGTGGACTCGATGGTCCAGTTCACAGAGGAGAAAAGTAAAACACGCGATGTCATGGAACTTCTGTGAGGCGAGACACTGGAGAGAGAGAGCCAGGTTCACCTCTCTCCGTGAGAACACTTTTCCTGCAGCTCCTTCACTGGCTTGTCTTGTCTGGGTTAGTGTGCAGTGGCCGATCAGCATCTCCCGTGTGGCAGGCAGAACGCTTTAACACAGACAACCTGAGTCAGCCTCAAGTCCGACCAGAGTGACTGCTGCCTATCATGGGCCAGGTAAGGAACATGGTCTAGGTAGGGTTCACCGGTCAACAGTCACATGGTGGCAAGTTAGGCTTTTGGGTCCCTGTTCTCTTCTTACCCCTAACTTGGGGTTTCCCCTCAATTGCCTTTATGACATGGTGGCTGCAGCTTTAAACCACAGGCCACTTACATTCATTGGTGAGTGCTTCCCCTAATAGTTAACAGTGCTGCTGAGTAACGCAATGCGTGGCGGGTGCATTTGCTTTTGCAGGGTTCATCATGCCTAGAAAGTGGCTGAGTGTCCCTGCCTCTGTCCCTACCTTGGGCCAGCTGCTGCTGGTCTCATTCAGTCCTGGCTGACTCTGACCTGGGGCCTCAGGCTAAAGCCTCTGGATCCATCCTCTGCATAGGCTGGCTTCCTACAACACTGCTCAGACAACATTGACTTGTCACAGATTTTAAGTTCACATCTGGTCCCAGCAGTCTTTGGAGGTCCTGCCCCCAGCAGCCCTCATCATGGACTTAAAGCTTTAGCCAAACTGAGGGAAACTGCATTTTCTAGACATGCTCCACTCTACACCATCTCTCCTCTACACCTTGGGGATTTTTCTTGATATTTTGACTGGATATTACTTCTTCACTCATCTGAAACTTAGCCCTCACGCTTCGCCCCATCCTCCAACCAACCACCCACATCCATCTTCCACAGCTCCTAGACCTCCAAACGGTACAAGGTGCATTCTGGCTTGAGGCAGAATCCTTTGGCATCCAGCAAGCAGAAGAGCTGGCCTAGAGTGGACGTTGTCAAACCAACTGTTGAGTGCAGATATCCCTATCCCAATGAGAACAAGCCCTTGAGCAGATAAACCTATCCCAATGAGAACAAGCCCCTGAGCAGATAAATCTATCCCAATGAGAACGAGCCCCTGAGCAGATATCCCTATCCCAATGAGAACAAGCCCTTGAGCAGATAAATCTATCCCAATGAGAAGGAGCCCCTGAGCAGATAAACCTATCCCAAAGAGAACGAGCCCCTGAGCAGATAAACCTATCCCAAAGAGAACGTTCCCCTGAGCAGATAAACCTATCCCAAAGAGAACGTTCCCCTGAGCAGATAAACCTATCCCAATGAGAACGAGCCCCTGAGCAGATAAACCTATCCCAATGAGAACGAGCCCCTGAGCAGATAAACCTATCCCTCACACAGGCAATGTCTCCCAGCTCTGCTCAGACACCGCTCACACAACTGTCCACTTAAAACAACAGTCTAGTCACGTTCGCTATGTTCACAGGTTGTCCAAAAGTCACCACAATCCATTCTAGAACGTTCTTGTCACCCTAGAAACAAACCCCACAACCGTTAACAGTCACTTCCCTCACCTCCACCTCAAACCTCCGTGGCATTAGTCTCTTCCCTCCTCAGAAGGTTTGCCTAACCCAGATGTTCTCCATAAGCAGAATCACAGAACACATGGCCTCTGTGTCTGGCCTCCTTCACTTAACACAGAGCTTCGATCCATGTTAGCATAGAGATACATTGCAGTTTGTATCAACACCTCTCTTTTTAATTGACAACATTATGTGGACACACATTTTATTTATCCTTTCATCCTCTCATGGAAGCCCTGCCGTGAGCATGGGGGCTTACCAGCCTATGTTGTCTCTGGTGGATACAGACACAGGCATGGGTTGCTGAAGCATGTGGGGCTCCGTGTCTAACATTCTGAAGAGCGGCTGTGATTGCCAAAGCAACTATGGAGAATGCATGTGAATCCTGCCGCAGCTGTAGAGAAACCCTGCAGAGTGAGAGAGCCATTTGTGTGGAAGGGTGAAGAGGAAAGAGCTAAGCAACCTTCATCCACCATGAAAGTCTGGAAGGGCCAACCAGAAAGATTCCCGGTTAGAATGCCATGTCACCCAGGGGCTTCCCCGGGGCAAAGGCACGGGTGTGCAGAGTCATCTTGCTCTCATTCCTCTGGACATTCATCTCACTTCAATGGCCACCAGACCCAGGGATGTGGGACAGGAGGGACACTTCCATATTTTATATTAGAAAGGCACACTTGTACTCTTGGTGGTAGGAAAGACTCTACATGTACTAATTAATACTTTAGTGTGCACACACTTAGTGCTTGGCTTTGGGGGAGTTAAACCCTCTTCTACCAGCTGAGATGCCCCTGGAGAAAGTCAAAGTTGACACAGGCAGAAACTAACTAAACTCAATGTTTCAAGAGGTGTCTGAGACCAGACATCCATGGAACAGAGAAAGCGTACTAGGGATAAAAAGATGACGGTGAGAGTCACAGACATTGTCTCCAGAGTGTGACCGTCCAGAGGACAAGAGCGAGCTGTGGTGTGACTGACAGCCTTTGTTCGCATCTTCCTGGATGGAGAGGAGAAGGAAGGCAGGCGTTTGTTTCTTTGCTTTTTAAGTTAGTAATCTGGGGCCAACAAGACGGCTTAGCAGGTGAAGGTGCTTGCTGCCAAGCCTGACGATCTGAATCAATCCTTGGGACCCACATGGTAGAGGAAATTCACACGCGCTCACGCACACGTGCACAAATGAACAAGTAAATGTCTTCAAACTTAGGATGTTAATGAATCTGCTACCTCCAGGGATTATCTGTTTTCTGAATAAACATGGTTTCCAAACACAGTTGCTGTCTCTGCTTGGCCCTTGTGGCCACAGGCAGTGTGAGGCCCCAGATTCTGATTTCATCATAACCACATTCACATCTGCCTCCGGCCCCCACAATTCCCAGAGGTTAAAAACAGAAGTGACAACAGGGTGAGACTCTGATCCAAATGAGCAAGAAGGCATCAGAGATCCACTTGACTCTTCTGCAGGGAGCTGGGCGCAGGCTGGCCGTGTTAGACTCTCTGTCACTGTGCCAGAAACACCAGGTGCAAATAATGTAAGGGAGTTGGGATTACTTCTTCAGCTGCCAGTGTCCCTGCAGTCCGTCATGATGGGAATGGCACCATGGAGCGGAGCAGCTCACTCTGCTGTCCAGCGAGCAAAGTGACGGGCACCTGAGACCAGATGTGCTTTCAAAGGCACAGCCCTGGTGACCTGCTTCCTCCAGCTGGGCTCTGGCTTGTACAGTCCCATTCCACTGGGAAGGAAGCATTGAATACATCCACCTGACTGAGACTTCTCAGACTCAAACAACAGCGTGTAGCTTAGGGAAGCCGGGCATTTATCTTTCACTTATTTAGAAATCTCTCACTTCCCCAGACACACTTGTGGTCTGTTTTTGTTTTCCTTCTTATGTGTCCCAGACTGGACTCAATATATAGGGAAAAGTAGCCTTGAACTTCAGATCTTTCTGCCTCAACCTCCCAAGAGCTAGGGACGTGTGCCACCATGTCTGGTTTATGTGGTGCTAGGAGTCAAACCCAGGGCTTTGGACACTTGTGACAAGCACTCCACAAACAGCCACATCCCCAGCCCCTCCCTTACATTTTTTAATTTAATTTCTTTGAACTGGGCATGATGACTAATGCTGTAAGCCCAGTACTTGAGAAGACGAAGTAGGAGGACTGCCGTGAGTTCCAGGACAGCCTGAGTGACGCACTAAGACCCTGTGAATTGTGGAATGACTAAATCAATTAACAGCAGATGACCCACATTCTTCTTCATGGTCAGAACACTAGACATCTACTCTGTATACCCAACGGGATGGCTGTATGACTGTATGACGGCGTAGTTGCTATAACTTTATTTTTATCTTCTTATTATTAGTGTGTAGTGTGCGCACTCACGTGTGTGTGTGCATGCATGCACATGTGGAAGTCAGATGACAATTCTGGGGAGTTGGTTTTCCACCATAGGTTTAGGGTTCATCAGGCTGTCAGGCTTGCATGCCACACATTTTTTACCAGCTGGGCCATCTCCCCAGCCCTCCACTTTTAACTTTTAATGAACTGGCCTAGCTTTCTTAACTTACATGGCTCCCGTCTCTTGAGTTCTCTCTTGATAAATACCTGACAAGGAAAACGGTTTTGGGTTTTGTGTTCGAGATGGTGGGAGCAGAACCCAAGGCCTTGAGTGTGCTAGGTGAGGCCTCGCCACTGAGATACATCCTTACGCCCTCTCACACCCCTTTTAGGAAATTTTACTCCGAGACCAGGACTTGCAAGGTTGCTTAGACTGGCTTTGAACTTGCTGCCCTCCTGCCCCACCCTCCCGAGCAGCTAGGATTACAGGTGTGTGCCACCAAGTCCGACGATTGCTTTTGTTTCATGAAAACAAAGCTAGCATATGCCCCAGGTGAAATGGTACCTGCCAGTCACCTCAGTTTAAAGGGACAATAAAGAGATAGGCGGGCAGCAGTGACAGGCTGGAGCAGGCCCAACGAGGCCACGGCCTGCACCCTGTTAAAGAAGAGCTAAAAGCCCAGGGTTACATGTGAAACCTTCCGTCTCTAGTGGTTGACACCAAAGATAAGGAGCGTGTACCGTCTTGTCCCTTCCCAGCATCTCCTCCACGGTCCTCTCAGCTCCGTTCACCTAGCCCAGCACGTGGAGCTCAGGCTGAAGAACACAGCCCTCTCTCCCAGCCGGAGAGAAATAGACCCTTCACTTACATCAAATGCCAGTTCCCTGTGATGACTGTCTCCACACCCCTGGCCTGCACTGCTCAGCAGCTGAGCCATTCATTCATTCATTCGTTCATTCATTCATTCACTTATTGACCCCCTGAGGCTTACTCACACAACATCTGCTGGCTGTAGTATGGGTGGTATGAGCTCCTGGGAATAAGGGACGTGTCTTCTTCTCTCTGATTATTTCTCGTAAACTCTTGCCTCCTACAGCTAGACACAGGACACCAGATGTTGTCCCCTTCCCCTGGGGGACATGCCACTTCCTTATCTTCATTCTGGATATAAGCGGCCAGGAAAGATGATCTGTGGGGGACCTTGTGGCCTTCTTGGGCAGCAGCCCAGAGCCCTGAGCAGTGGGCCTGGGCTTGGATGGCCTCATGGCCTGAACACATCCGTGTCCCAGCAGCAGTCTCCCCGGGATGACTAGGGTAGTTGAGGCATTTACAGACACTTAAAGGTTGAGAGTACTACAGGCAGCACGAGGCAGGGCACATGGAATCCCGCTAGTCTCTGAGTTTCAACCAAGCTCAGTCTTTTGGGCAGGTTATGACTTCTCCATGAGCCTCAAGATCTTCACCTATAGCATGGGGATGAAATTACCCGCAGGCTTGTTCTTTGGCTTCAGAAGTAACTGTGGTGTTCAAGGTTCTGACAGTAGATGTAATGGTTGTTGTCGCCCACAGCCAGTAGAGGGCGCCAAACTAAACAAAAAACGAGACGTATCGGGCGAACACACACTCCTAGGGACTGGAAAGTTATAAATTCAATTACACTTTACACTGTTCTTGGGAGCCATCATCTAACAATAGCGAGTTGGTAGTGGTACAAGCAGCACATCAAAGTAGACAACGTCTGGATTGGGTTCTTGTCCTGGACAGAATTGGGGGACTATTTGACCTTGGCAGCGACAACCTGTATCTGAACCCCTCTCTTCCTGGAGACCAAGATGGTGAGTGAGGCCAGGGTACCTCTAAGAGCCTTCCATCTGTCTATCACCAAGAGTACGGCAGAAATCGGTGCCTGGCAGCATCCGGGTGCGGAGGTCGGAATGGTAGGCTCTCACCCGGCCGCGCTGGTGATTTGGTCCTGGTCCAGGGAAGGGCGCGAGGGCTCATCCCGGTCTCACAAAGGAGTGCTCTCAGAGACCTGGGTGGCGGCGTGTTTTCCTGCAGGAGCACGATGCTTCCCCAGACCTGTGCTTGTTGCCGCTCAGCCACCGAGACCACCCAGCCTGACAAAGAAAGGAATTCTTGTGTGCAGTTGACAGCCCTCAGGTTGACGGCTCTGCTTTTGCCCGGGAGGCTGTCACTCGCAGAACAATGGCAGCGAGCAGGGTGGCTCTCACCTGAGACAGGCGCTGCCGCCAGCCAAGGGGGAAGCGCGGGTCCTCGCGCTGCCAGAGAACCCGCCCCGCTCCTGAGGCTGCGCAGGGCTGGGATGCTGTCTCACTCGGCTGATCAGGGAGCTGGAGATCTTAATCCCCATTCATTAGCACACACACACACACACACACACACACACACACACACTCATGAGGTCTTAACTATGTATATATGCTCTCAATTTGATGCATAAATAAATGAATACACACCTCATCATTTCCGTTTCTGGAAATTTCTTACATTTTTGGTGGTGAGCCTAGCCCTTAACGGCTGAGCCATAAATGGCTTAGTAGTTAAGAGCACTGGCTGATCTTCCGTTTCTGGAAATTTCTAAAGCTCGTGAAGTTAAGCTAGGGACCAAAACTCGGGTAACTGGCTGCTGCCTGTGCAGCAGAGAAAGGCTTGATTGCAGAGGGATGTGGGGGACTTCCTGGGGGATTGAGCCTTTCCATGTCCTGACTGAGTGACAACCGGTGTGTACATATCATTGTAAGACGAGTTAACTGCTTTCTTTAAATTCCCTGATTTTACACTGTGCAAATTTCACTTCAGATATCACTGATTTTTAAAGATGATTGGCAAACAGATTGTGACTTTTCTTATTCTCAAAAGAATAGTGTGTTGGCTAAGGCTGTAACTCAGACATAGAGGGATTGTGTTTAAAAATACCCTGGGTCCCAAGCCCTGAAAAAAATCACAATAGAAGACAGCAAAAATACAGATGGCTTACAAAAAATTAAATTAAATTCAACCATAATCTCATTGCCTGGAGATTTACATGGCTATCATTTTATATTAACATCGCCACTATTTTATTTTCACAAAACAATTTTTTATTAATTTTTTTATTTTTAAGTTTAAATTTAGATTAGAAACATGGTTGGTTCACAAATCAGTTCCAGGTCCCTCTCCCTTTCCCTCCGCTCCTCCCATGCCCTCCCCCCAACTCCCCCATTATCCCCTCCTTTCCCCAGGGAGGGTGAGGCCCTCCATGGGGGTGTCCATAGTCTGTCATTTCATCCAGGGCAGGGCCTAGACCATCCCTGCAAGAGTTCAGGGTGAGAGTTCATCCCACATTGTTGGATGGGAGTCCAAAGTCCGTGTGTATACTCTGGATAATACTGATCTACTGCCCAAGGCTCAATAGATTACCTAGGCCTCCTCACTGACACCCACATTCAGGGGGTCTTGATCAGTCCCATGCTGGATTCCCAGGCATCAGTCTGGGATTCAAGGGCTAACCCTTGTCAGGTCAGTTGTTTCTGGGGTTAAACCAGCCCAGTCTTAACTCCTTTGGTCATCAGTCCTCCCTCTCTGTTACTGGCGTTCTTGAATTCAGCTCAGTTCTTAGCCGTGGGAGTCTGCCTCTGCTTCCATCAGCCACTGAATGAAGGTTCTGTTTCCCAGACTCTCTGGCCATGGGACTGTAGCCTGGCACTCCCCAGATCTATGTCTAAAATCCATATATGGGAGAGTACATGCCATGTTTCTCTTTTTGTGACTGTGTTACCTCACTCAGGATGGTTTCTTCTAGTGTCATCCATTTGCCTGCAAATCTCAGGATTCCATTTTTTTTCTGCTGAATAGTACTCCATTGTGTAAATGTACCACATTTTCTCTATCCACTCTTCGGTTGAGGGACATCTAGGTTGCTTCCAAGTTCTGGCTATTACAAATAATGCTGCTATGAACATAGTGGAACAGACGTCCTTGTTGTATGAATGGGCATCTTTTGGATATATGCCTAAGAGTGGAGTTGCTGGATCTTGTGGTAGGTTTATTCCCATTTTTCTGAGGAATCTCCATACTGATTTCCAAAGTGGCTGAACCAGTTGGCACTCCCACCAGCAATGAAGGAGTGTTCCCCTTTTACCACATCCTCTCCAGCATAAATTGTCGTTGGTGTTTTTGATTTTAGCCATTCTGACAGGAGTGAGATGGTATCTCAGAGTTGTTTTGGTTTGCATTTCCCGGATGGCTAAGGATGTTGAGCACTTTCTCAAGTGCCTCTCAGCCATTTTAGACTCCTCTATTGAAAATTCTCTATTTAGTTCTGCAGCCCACTTTTTAATTGGATTCTTTGGTGTTTTGGAGACTTGCTTCTTGAGTTCTTTGTAAATTTTGGAGATAAACCCTCTGTCAGATATGGGGTTAGTGAATATTTTTTCCCATTCTGTGGGCTGCCTTTTTGTCTTGCTGACTGTGTCCTTTGCATTTCAGAAGCTTCTCAGTTTCAGGAGGTCCCAATTATTAATTGTTGATCTCACTGTCTGTGCTACTGGTGTTATGTTCAGGAAGCTGTCTCCTGTACCGATTCATTCAAGGGTACCACCTACTTTCTCTTCTAAGAGGTTCAGTGTGGCTGGATTTATGTTGAGGTCTTTGATCCATTTGGATTTAAGTCAAAAAACAATTTTTTCTAATATAATTTATTTAGGCATCAAGTTGAGAGCATATACATACACAGCTAAGACCTCTTGAGATATAAAAGAAATCAACTAAAAATTCTCCCTGTCTCACCTACTCTCTGAATCAGTCACTTTTGTCACTGACTTATGGATTACCTTAAAGATGGTATGCAGGAAGACATTATGCATATAGATGTTCTACATAATTATATTATGCATAAAGATGTTGTACGTATGCATATGAGGCTCCCTTACAGGAAAACTGCAGGCATTCTGTCATACACCCTGTATATCAACTTACAATCTATAACATGACAGTTTGTCTTCCCATGTCACTAAGGCATCTCTTCTATGTCATTTTTACAGAGTTTTGGCAGAAGCAGAGCCTAAATGGAAATGTGCCAGGCCACATGAGTAAAGCCCCCAGCATGGTTGCTCGATGATTCTGCTGTCATAGCCAGCACCAATGTCTCCAGTGCCTCAGAACCTGCTCTGGAGTGTCTCCTACTTACATATGGTATTTCCCCCAAAGTAACCCAGGCACAACCTCTAATTTCTGCTTTTATGTTTATATTCCTTCATTCAGCAGTATATGAATGAGATTCATTCACGTTAATACACCTATTTACTTTCATTGACAGATATAGTACCCCTCTGTAAAAATGCATCACAATTTCTTTATTGATTGTACTGTTGATGGGCATGTGAGCTCTTTCCAGATTTGGGCCATTTTAGCTGGCATACACACTCCTTTGGTGTCTTTTGGTGAATGGGTTAACCACATGCTTACGAACACAATTGCTAAATCACAATCAATACCTATAATTTGCAGTAAAAGCCAATTATCTCCAAATGCTGCTCCCCTAACTAAGTTTATCTTCAATGTGTGAGTTCCAATAGCTCTGCATTCTGAGCTATCACACATATTTTAGTAGCCCATCGTACATGTGAGGAAGTTGTGGTTTGAACCCCATTCCTGCAGGCAAGAGTTCTTTGTCATGGACCTCTGGCCTCTTCATGAGCCCGAGCACTCAGTCTCAGAATATGACATAGTAAAGTCAAGCTTTATCATTCACATTGGATAACACCATCTAGAGAGTGAAACGTGCATTCTTCCCGCCAGCCTGGTCCCAGAGCCGCATCAGTCCCAAATGAACACACTACATTAATTAGGAAGCTGTTGGCCATTTGCTATGGTTTCTTAATGGCTAGCTCTGACTTAATTATTAACTCATAATTACTAATATATATTTGTATAAGGTCTTATCTTACCGAGGACGCAGCCTCATGAGTCCTCTCTTCCCGGGATCACATGGCGACTCTCTACTATTGACTACATTTCCCAGAATCCTCCTCGACTCCTAGCCCCACCTATCTTGCTTGCCTATTGGCCAACAGTGTTTCATTTATCAACCAGTCAGACAAACATATGCACAGAAGGACATCCCCCATCAAGAGAGAGTCTAGTAACTCTCAAATGAGCATAAGCATAAAGGCGTAAGACTGAGAGTGTGGCTCAGCAGTACAGTGCTCCCCTGGCACGCGCAGGCGGGGTTCAGTCCCAAAATTTGCCCCAAAATGTATTAGCCTTTGATACTGTTCCTTCTATGAAGGCAC